GTGCCTTGTGTGTGTGTGTGTGTGTGTGTGTGTGTGTGTGTGTGTGTGTGTGTGTGTGTGTGTGTGTGTGTGTGTGTGTACGCACAATGTGTGCGTGTGTGCGTGGCCACATGTGTAATTCGTTGGCAGTTTGTGCCAGATTTCTGGGCCGGCAGGGCTGTGGAAGCCAGGCCAGCAGCCTACTGCGCCACAGATGAGACGGGCATTGCTTGAGAAAAGCCCAGGCCAATTGTTGCTGCAGCGGCGTTCCGTCGGCCGCGCCGGCAGGCTGCCCCCCTGCCGCGGGCCACCGTGGACCCCCGGCGTGCACTTCACCAACTATCTGCCGCACACCTGCCTTTCCAATGCCCACAAAACTCACGCAGGTGGTCAACAAGGCGGGCTCCACTGATAGCGGGTTCGATCTCGACCTGACTTACCTGTCAAACGCCCCCGTGGCAGCTACGCCCTCGGTGCGCGCCCGAGCTGACACGAGACTGGGGGCCCCACGCCTGCTCGCCAGCGCCCACGCCCCGCGCTCTCGGGCGCCCAAACGCCGCCGTGCGTGCTCTGTGGTTGATGCTCGGCCGCCTCACGTGCGGCCAGCACCGACAAATATGCTGCTGCCCCTCACCTTTGCCTACCCGCTTGGGTCTGCTGAGTCTGCGACCCCTCCCTTCGTCCCTCCCTGGACCCCTCCTGCAGACCTGTGCTTGAGGCGTGGCCGACTGCTGTAGGTCATCGCCGCTCGACGGCTGCGGGGCGGATGCATCGACCCCCGGCGGCGATGCCCGCGTGCGTGACTCATAAATACTGCTCACACACACTTTGTGTTCACACCGCGCACAATCTAAAACAGTCTGGTGCCCTGTTCCCTGCTGGTTGCACCCTGGACGCTGCGCTGCCGCAAGGCCGTCCCTCCTTGTTGTGGCTGTGGTCCCAATTGGTCATGCGCGCCCAGGCTTGGCATTTATACCGCATGCTCAAATGCCTGAATTCCAGTTTGTCAACCTCCTTGCAAAACCTGCTTTACGCATGGGACTTTTCGAGGCAATCCCGTCGGCTGTCCAGGGGGTCGCACACCCACGCGAGCTGAACCCTACGTATGTGTATGTGCGGCTCGCCACCCCTCAAGAACGCAAGCACGCACTTGTCCTCAAGGCGCGGCCCAAGGCCATCTGCCTCGCATACACCATAAATTCCATCTTTCCTGCCGCCAGCTGCTGGCACGGCCCACCTTGCATGTGGAACAATATGGAGGAAAGTCACAATCTGACGGCTGGATGCTTGATCTCTCACTAGACTGATCTGGGATAGATTAGATCCAGTGGCCCATGATCTCCAAGGGTACCCGGCGGCAACCTTGTGTTTGTTCATCCGCCCTTGAATCACAACCGTTGATCTTGTGTTTGCGGCTTGGCGCCGTTGTGCGCACCCCCGCGGGCAGGCAAATCCCTGGGAATTATAACAGGTCGCGCGGCTTGCCCTTGAAGCAGGCGCACACCATGCGAAGTGTAAGCCGTCGAGGCTCCTGCCCTCCCTGGACGCGCATGGATATTATCGGCGCAGAAGCGATGGACCATCACGCCATGGCCGGTTAATGACTTACAGGACAGAGGGCAGCTTGAGGCCGACAGTGTCGTTCCCCAGCACTCGCCGAAGCACCTGGAACTGGATGGGCACCGACTCCTCGCGCACGCCGCCCCTCAGCTCGGGGTCCAGCTGGGTCACCGGGCAGCTGCGGGAGGCACCCAGGGGGGCGGCAGGGGTTGAGCTGGCGAGCGGGGAGCAGGCCGTGCCCCAGTGTGCAAGGCGATCCTCCTCGGCTCAGCTCAGACATACAGTCAGCAGCGGGCCTGGCGAGTTCCCACCACACGCCTCGGTGCACTGCCCCCACGAAAGCACAGGTATCGCGCCGGCGGGTTCAAGACACCTCCGGCGCATGCCGTGTTGCGCGGGCGCCAGCAAGCCCCGCGCGCGTCCGAAGCCCGCCGGACCCGACGCCCACCTGAATTGGTAGCTCTCCTCGATCGCAAACGGCGCCGCGCCCTCGCGCAGGAGCTGCAGGAACCGCTCCCTGTTTGCCGCCGTCCTGTTCGGCGGGTCCGACAGCAGCAGCGCGCCGGACGTCGATTTCAAAAGCTTCGGAACGACAGCCGAGATCGGGCCCACCGCGTCCGCCTCGTACAGCACGTCGCACGCGAGGACCACGTCGAAGCGCCGCAGGTCCGCCGGCGGGCTGTGCCAGTCGAACACAGCCGCGCTCAGGGCGCACGCACGCTCGCCGCCGCCGCCCGCGAGCCCGTGGCTCGCGCGGCGCTCGGCCGCGGCCACGTCGTCCGGGCTGGCACCGACGCCGCTGCTGCCCGCGCTGCAACTGCTGCTTGCCCCGCTGCCGCCGTCGCCGCTCGCTGTGCCGCTGCCGTCGCCGCTGCCGCCGCCGCTGCTGCTGGTGCCCACCTCCAAGTCCCGCACGTCTGCCAGCCCGGTGGCGCGCGCCGACAGCAGCGCGCACTCCAGCGCCATCGGCTCCCTGTCCAGCAGGACCACCTCCCTGGCGCCTGCGCGGCGGCGGCGGCGGCGGCGGCGGCGGCGGCGGCGGCGGCGGGGTGCTCACAAGAGTGGAAGGGGGTAGGCGATAGGAGGGCCTTGGCGAGCCTGAAGCCGTGGGGCCGCACCCAATACGTGGGCGGCCCAGACCGCGTGCTCGTGACGGCGGCTTGCTGGACAGGCCAGCCGCGGGGCTCGTGTGCGGTTCAGGGCGCCACGGGGGGCTCTGCTCGCCCTGCTACCCCGCGCGTGCGGGCGCCGCCAACCTGCCAGGGCGGCCGCGATCCCAGCAACGCCGAGGCCAGCTGCGGGGGCGGCGTGCGCGCGAACGTGCGGGAGGCGGGGCGAGGAGGCGGACGGTGCTGGCTCGTGAGGCGCCTCGGCGTCGCTGTTGCTTCGGTGCCGCTGGGCGGCCAGAGCTGGGCGGTCGGGTCAGGCAGCGTTTCAATGGGTCCAAAGCTGCAGCTGCAGCACCATTCCAGGGTGGCCGGCGCGCGCAAGTGCTGCCGGCCTCCCTGATACTCACGGCTGCATGCGAGGCTGAGCCTCATCGTATGCTGCCGCAATCAAAAGCAGCCCGCCCTGCAGGAAGGCGGGTGCTGGCAGGCAGCTGAATTGACTGATAAATGTCAGTGAATACCCCCGGCGGCCCCGCGCACCGCCGAGATCCGCCACCCGCAGCCCTTTGACGAGCTGCGGCCGGCGCAGCAGCTCCGCCGCCAGCGCGATGGCGGACGCCCAGACGCGCGTCCAATACGGATCCCCATCGGCACCGGTGCTGATGTAGTGATCCAAGACCTCGTCCGGGTCCCTGGGGCAGACAACGCGCAGCCGGCGGCCCGCCACGTCAAACTCCTGCTGCAGCAGCGCGAGGCCCCCGACAGTGACGCCCTCGATGGGCGTGCCTTCCGAGCGCTCCTGACGGCTGGTGGATGCGCTGCCGGCACTGGCAGGCGAGGCGGCGGCAGCGACGGTGCACGGACGGAGTGTGGCGCGGGCTGCCCAACCGGCGCCCATTGAAGGCATGGCATGTTTATGCCACGCCCGCTTCATGGCGGGTGTGCAGCGCATAATTGGTCGCTGCATGCTGTGCAAGATCGTTGTGTCCAGCCACATGTGACTGGAAAACCAGATACACACACCGATCAAAAAGTCTGTGGTTGCTGTACGCGCACCGATGTTTGACCGCCCAAGAACGGGACTGATTTCGCGATTGTGTATTTGCCCGACTCCGATGATAATCGCACGGCCAGCAAAGCACGGCGCCCCCATCCTACAAAACAAATGTGCACAATCAAAGAAAACGGAAAACCGCGCCCAAGCCTCCGCACAAGGACGTTGTTGAGCGAGTTCAATCGCCTGGTGGCACGCGGAGTTTTGGCACGCTGGCGTCCCGAAACGAGCAAATATTGAAGTGTTTTGAGTTTTCGCGGCCTCAACCCCCCAGCCGAGGGTGCCACAAGTGATTGTTGAGCGCGGGGATTGGAGCACGGCGCGCTGAGCTCAATGGGCAAGGGTGGTGCCCTTGGTGGGCCACAGGCCGAGCATCAGGCGGTGAGAGCGCTGTGGGGCCTGCGGGTGGGGGCGGGCGCGCCGGTTCGGTCGACAACGGTGTCGCACGCCGACCCGTGCGCCAAACGCCTCGACGGCACCCTTGCACGTACGCGGGCCTCACACACTGCGTCGGTGCTGACAATCGCCCTGTCTGACCTCCTGGTGCAGGCTCTTGACCGCAGGGTGCTGCGACAGGAGTACAGGAAGCTTCTCGGCGATGCCGTCGGTGCGTACGGGGCGGGGCGCGGGCGGGCGCCACCAACTCGGCCGGGGGGCACGAGCCCGGCAAACGGGGTGCCTGCGCCCCCCTTGAGAGCATTCCGCATGAGATCGGTGATAAAGACACACCAGCTTCGTGCCTGCCACGTCCTGCGCCGAAGCGTGCCCCGCGCAGGCCCTTCAGCCCCTGGCTCGGCGCTCGCTTGCTCACTGCACTGGGGCCCTCAACCACTGCCACGTTGGTCGTGCAGAGGGCAAGGAGCAGCTTCAGGATGCGGGCAGTGGCGCCCTCAAGACAATGCTGGAAAAGGTGGAGCTGCTCAGGGACAAAGGTGAGTGGGTCCCCGGGAGCGCGGGGATAAGGTGAAGGAAGAAGAGCGGGGACCGTCGACGAGGGTGCGCGCTGCCCCATTTTGCCTGTAACATCTGCATCTGCCCTGCGCCTGGGTGTGGGCTCCACTCTTTACGCGCTGTGTCTGAGGCGGCGTGTTCCTACCGACACATTCTTGGCCGGCCCCTGCACCCCCAACCCGACGCGTGCCATCCCACCAAAAACCGCCTGTCCCAGTCGAGAAGCCCCGAGAGCATGCGGTCGACGCGGACGTCTTCTGCCACCTGACAGAATGCGGCCTGACTATGGTCAGCCGCGGCCACGCGGCTAATCAGGTGGGCGCACGGGCCCCGCGTCGGTCGCACGGGCCGCCTGTGCCGGATCTCGGACGTGGCCCCCTCGGGCCCCACGTCGGCACCCTGCACCATGAGCTCCTCGCCGCTCCTAAACCCCACCCGCATGCTCCTCATCCTCCTCTCCCCTGCTTTCCTCAATCCAACCCGCTCCCTCCCAGGGCCGCACCCCTGCAGCGCTGATCGCGATGCTGCGCCAGGCGTACGGCGGCGATGCTGCCGCCTCCTCCGGCCCCCTCCACCCAGAGGCGATGCAGTGGGCCGCTCTCGGCGCCTCCGCCGCCGCATATGTTGCGCGCGCGCCGGGCGTCGGCTGCATGCTGGGGCCCATGGACGTGCCGCCAAAGGCGCGTGCAGCGCCGGCACAGCGGCGGCAACGGGCGGCGGAGCCAAGTGGGGAGGTGGTGCACGCGCAGGAGCTCGCCACTGCGCAGCTGGGCGGAGAGCAGGACAAGCAGGTGGGTGGGCCCCAGGGCGGGCTGAGGGGTGCGATGGTCGCGTCAGGCACTCAACCTCTGAAACCACGCGGCGAGGCTGCCATGAGGGGTGTTGACTTTGACCACGCTCCTTACTTCGGCCCGTCAATTGACTTGTGATTCTTTTTATGGGAGACACCTGCCCCACTTCTGCAGTGCCCTTGATCAACACCTCTGGACACCTTTACACAGACGCAACGCCTCGCTCGCCTCGCCCAAATGCAGGAGACCGACCGGAACGTGTTGGTGATGTGGGACTGCCTGCAGCGCGCCGGTGGCGCGGCGCGCTTCGTGCCGCTGGTGCTCAACCACGACAGCTTTGCGCAGACGGTGGAGAACATCTTCACGCTGAGCTTCCTGGTGAGGGGTTCTGACGCGAGCGGGGGGCGCACGGCGTCACCCGCTGCTCAGGCGCAGCCCCCTGGGGGCGTGCCGGCGGCGCGAGGTGGTGCTGGGGGCTGCTCGTCCAACTCCCTGTATCACTGCTGCTGTGTTATTACACCATCCCACCCCTGGCTCAGTGACAGCACTCCTCTCCTGCCCAACTCGTTTTCACCCGTCTCCAACAGGTCCGCGACCGCCGCGTGAGCCTGCAGACGGACGAGGAGCGCGGCACGCTGGTCAACGCGGCGGCGAAAGGCACGGCGGCGGCCGGCGCGCCCATGCAGCTGATGCTGAGCTTCGATATGGAGGGCTGGGAGGAGCTCTGCGCCGCGACGCGACCGGCGGATTGCCTCATGCCGCACAGGGGGCCGGGAGGGAACGCGGGCCGCAGCGCGGGGGGCAGCGCGCAGCGGCAGCATTCAGGCGGGCGGCGGCGGCGGGACGAGGAGGACGAGTGTGAGGACGAGGAGGAGGACGAGGAGGAGGAGGTTCCCGTTGATGTGCCAACTAAGCGCGCGCGCCGTCGCAGCAGCCGCTAGGCAGGCCGCATCGGGCGTAGCGCGCGCGCAGGAAGCCCGCGCTTTCAAGCTCGTAAGCGTCACACTGGCCGCGCGCCAGTGGCTTCGCCATTGGCGGGTGTTAGGCGCTGTGATGGGCTCGTGCTATTTGATGGCATGCACTTCTCATTGCAACGATGATATCCGCGCGCTACGCCCGATGCGGCCTGCCGCTCATCGTTGCAAAACCGCGTCCTAGCCGCCGCAGGCCACTGCCAGGAGCCTGCCTGCACTCTCACACGCATACCTAGGCATAGCACCGTGCCCCCTGCACGTGTATCAGGTTCGCACTCAACACATGCCCAGCATGCGCGCCATGCACACGATACTCCCCGCGGCGGCGGGTGCGGGGGCTTGTCCCCGCGCCTCTCTTGGGTGTGCTGGAGACGTGGCCAGGCCAGAGGCCAGGGGCTTGAAGGCACCTGACCTCTTTGGCTCCGCCAATCCCTGCGCCGCTGGGCGGATTCCTGGCATCCCCGTTCTTCCGCCCCGCGCCCCTCGGCGGCCCCAGCTGCACTGTGGCGGGCTGCGCACTCCTCGGGCCGCCCACATCGCCCGGCCTCGATCAGACGGCGCCGATTCGGCCGCTTCTTTTGGGCGCGGCGGCCCCCGCGCTCCGGGGCCCCGCGCCGAGATGAGAATTTGGCTCTCATTCTACACTGCCACGGCCTGGCCCGCCCTGCCCCTGGCCACCCTGCTCCCCATCTTTCGAGGCGGCTTGCCGGCGCCTCGCGCCGCCCTGGGCCTGCCTGCCGGCCCCGCACACATTTACTGACCCTTGTTGCGTGCTCGCTTACGCCCGTTGGACGATTTCCCGTTGGGGCATTCTTGGTCCGCGGCCGCGCATCGGGGCCACATGACACCCGGCATGGGCGCGCACGCGAGCGGTTTCATACAGAAGCGCCAGGTCAGCCGCGGGTGCGCACCCTCACCGCACGGCCCTGGCTCGGCGGCCTGCGCGGGCCCTGACTGCACAAACCTGCCCGCGCCCGCCGCCGGCCCGGGCCCACGCCCCGGCCCCTCCCTGCGCTGACGCTGTTCCGCTGCGCGCCTGTGCCCTCCGATGCCGCGCTCTGCGGACCCAACACGCTTGACCCCTTGACTTGAGCCTCGGCCCCCCATGAGGGGACGGGCTCCACCCCTTGTGTGCTACGCAGCAGGCCCGCCGCGTGTGTCGGCAAGCCGCCCTGGAAAGATGAACCCTGCCTCGCACGCGCGGCCAGCGCCCTCCCTCTCTCTTCCCAAACAGAGCCCTCTCCCTGCGCTGTGTTCAAGCAGATTGGAATGGTCGAGATACCCAGTGGGATTCCTTATTGTTCCGAGTACAGGTGAAAATTGACGAGGGTAGTCACTCCGTCATAGGATCCCCCGGCTTGCACAGCAGCGATGCACGGGCTCACCGCACCCTTGCGGCGTGCGAGCGGCTGGGCCAGGGGGCGCGGAGCAGCGCGGTGCACTGGTCAAATTCTGCAGCTTAGGCACATGCGTGTAACAATCCATAAATTATACTGCTCACTCTTGAAATGGGCTCGCGTGGGCAAGCAAGAGCCAGCCGACAATTGAAAGCATGTGATGTTTGCGCCCATGCTACCTTGTGTGCTTTGCATGTGGCTGGCATACCAGAACGCACATGCGCGCGCACGCACGGCGGACAGTACTCCAAGGATCATTAACGGCGGCTTGCTTGCCCGCCTGCACTGCGTGCAGCTGTCAGCGTTTGCCTGTGGCTCAGTGGCAGCAAGATCGGAGCTCAGCTGCCAACCAGCTTCCGCCGCAATTGAGGAGCTTCTCGCCGTGCCTCGCTCACCACTTCAAGTAAAAACAATCCTGGTTCAAATCATTACAGCATCCTGGATGTGTGCATATCGCGTGATCGGATTCAGGGCCTCGGGTGTCAACACCATGGTCGGGCGCGTGCTCCTACCTCCAGCAGGCACGCGGCGACCGCTTCACGTTGTAGGCGAGTCTCAGGACCAGGCGATTGCACGCGCGAAGGCGAGTGCAAGTCGCGGCGGCAGCTTGTGTGCACTGCGAGTGTCACTCGCGCTGCTGTGCATGCGTTGCATTACGCCTTGTGCCAGCGGCTGGCTGCACACTGCAACCCCCTTGTAATTGGATGGTGTCGCAGGGATACCCTTACCCTCGGCCCTCGACATCTTACGTCTTCATCACCGGCGCCAATGGCCGCTGCGCGTACCATGAAATCGACAACGCAGCCTGGCGGGGCGCCGGCTTCCCCAGTGCCATCCTCGACTTGCCCGTGGGTCCCCGGATATCCGTCGAATCCAATGGCAGCAGCAACGGCACCGGCACCAGCGACAGAGGGCGCCCCGCGGCCACCGCGGGCAGCCGAAGCAACCTGGCTGCCGGCAGCGGCAGCAACAGCGCGATCGAAGTGAGCGCCAGCAGCGGCGGCAGCGAATCCCGTGAGGGGGCCGGCCTCACATTGCGAGAGGCGCTGGTTGAGGCGCACGGCATCGACGCGGCCACGCTGCTGCCCCCTGGCACGCCTTTCACCCCAATCCTCGCGATCGGCAGCAACGCGGGCCCCGAGCAGCTGGTGAGTTTTGCGCCCGCCTTGCCTCCACGGCACCCCCACCCCCATACAGGTCCACACACACTCGCAGCCGTCTGCGTGCACACTAGTCAGCATCTTCTCACCCTGCTGCACCTGCGGCCCGTCTTCCCCCCCAGCATGCCGACCTCCGCCGCCGCCGGCCGCTCTCACTCGCCCCGTGAGATGCGAGAGCGCTGCCAGAGCACTGCCGAACACCTTTCAGCAGCTCTCAATCCCAGAGCGGCGACGCCAACCGACCCCCAACCGAATCCAGGCCAGGAAGTTCCCGCCCGCGCTCTTCCCGACCGGCGCGATTGTACCCGTGGTCCAGTGCACCCTCTCCGGCTTTGACGTGGTCTACGCGCCCCTCATATCCTCGTATGGTTCAGCGACAGCCACGCTCGAGGCCAGCCCGGGGACTGAGGTGAGCAAGCGGCCCAGACGCGCCGCGCGCCTTGTGTGCTTGGCCGCTGCCGCCGAGCTCGCTCTTGGCATCGAAATCAAGCCCCTGCGGCCGCCCATTGTTGCATGCATGCCTCCGCCGCGTGCATTTCACCGCCGCGTCTTGCCCGCATGTACGCGTGGCGCACCTCTGTGCACCTGCGGTGGCCGCCGTTCCGCTCACCTCTGCACCCCTGCCTGCAAACCCCCCGGCACCCTCCGCACCGCCACCCCGGGCTTGGGCCCGGCGCCGCAGGTGGAGGTGTTCATAACGTTCCTGACGCCCCCCCTGCAGCTGCGCATGCACGAAACCGAGGGCGCGTACGACCTGCTGCGGCTCGATGGGGTGGCGCTGCTGGAAGGGCAGGCGCTCGTAGGGGGCGCCCCGGGGTGAGGCCGGAGCGCGGGGCCGGAGTTGGTCGCGCGGCAAGGTGGCAGGGACGCGCGTAATTGTGTGAGGGACGTCCTGGGCCCTCACACCCATCGCTGCACCCTCGCGCGCCGGCTTGCGGGGTGGCCTGCGCAACGACGTCTGGCACTCTGTCGCGCACGTACGGCCGCTCATGTCCCTGCTCATGTTGTCTCTTCTTCGTATCTGAGTTGATTGCCTATGACCCCGCCTGTTTCTTCCTGTTTTGCGCAGGTCCGGCCGTCGCCTCAGCAGCGTGTATCAGTACAACCACTCCCTCGGCACCCTGCACCTGCCGCTGGCCCCGCCGCGGGGCGGAAGCTCGCCGGTCGCGCTCTCCGAAATCCCGGCGCGCCGCCGGCGGTGAGGGCCGGCACGCCGGGGGCGGGGGCGGCGCCTACTGGGGCGCCTGCTGGGGCGCAGTCCGCGGCCGCAGAGGGCGAAGGCCTGCCGCACCGCTGGCTGCGACGCCATCTTGCACTCCTCGACGCGGCACCTGGCGCTGCTTTGGCGGAACTGCCACGGCTTGCAGCGCAGTGGCCCATTGTATGTGTTCATGACCACCCCTTGCCGCAGCAGGCGTATAGAGTGCACAAAGAGACAACCCACACCACCTGACCGCACCACCTGACCGCAAAAACAACCTGATCCCTTTGACCTCTACCCCTTGTGTCCCCACGCCCAGGTTCCCCGCCCTTTCGCAGGTCGAGATGCAGGCCGCCCTCATGCGCGGCTTCCTAGCCGGCAGCAGCAGCGGCGGCAGCACCAGCAGCAGCGGCGCGAGCACCAGCGACGCCGAGGCGATGGAATTTGGTGGCGACGGCAGCTGTGGCGCCGAGGTTGCGGCAGCTGTGGGGCCGCTTGCTCCAGTCGAGCTGCCGCCGCGTGTTGACGTGCCTCCTGGCCCGGCTGATGAAGCTCCTTCGTTGTCAGCGGTATCAACAGCAACGGCGGCCGCCCCATCCGATACAGTCACCGCAGGCAAAGCCGGCAGCAGCAGCGGCAGTGGCGCCGGGGACGGATGCGGCGGCGGCGGCGGTGGCGATGCCGAGGGTCTGGATGAATTCATTATCTCAAACCTTACGATGCCTGACATCAGGCGCGGGCGCGTCGCAGCGCTTGCGGCGCACGCGCGCCCGTTCTCGTACGCGCGCCACGAGCGGCTGATGTCCCTGGGCACCATTTTCAGCAAGAACGTCGAATGAAGTGAGTTGCAGGTTTCACTCATGAAAACAATGAATTTCTGGAACCAAGGCCGCCTGCTGCCAACAATGGCAAGCGTGCTGCATTCGAATCCACGTGTTTGCAGGAGGTCCATTCTTGAGACTTTACGCTCTTTGTCCTGTTGAGAGCTTTGTGATGTTCAAAGCTTTGTGGTGCTCTGATTATCATGCTATTGAGCTTGCAGGAATGCAAGTAGTAAAGCAGCACAAGAATTTGCTTTGGCGGTGGGAACAGCTGCAGCCAGGGGCGACGGGCCGTGCAGGACACTCGGTCCTTTTCCACATGATCAAAATTTCAGAAACATGCATCTTAAGCCTGCTGTGATCCATAGCCCAGCCGCTCAGCGCCCACATACGCAACCGCGGGCTGCTGCTGCTATGGCGTTCCTGTCAAAGCCGCCCACCCGCCCGCAAGTTGTGATCAACTGGAAGGATATGTCAGCATAGCAGGTGCAAGGGTTCATTCTGCGGCCTCCAGAATGCTGGCTCGTGATGAAGCATGACGACTTGCAAAGGCGCCGCTTTCGTCATTTTATCTGTCGGGGTGTGACATCGCCGCGGGATCTGCCGCCGTCTGCGCGGACACACCTTTGTGCATGCCCACGACTGCCACTGGCAGCAAACGTGAGAGCGTAGACGCACTCATACACTGTACTATACCACTGAACGTACTGCGCGTCAAATCCCCAAAAAGATCAAGCAACCGATCACACGACAGCTTCCAAACGAGGCCCTTGTGGATGCTCTTGTCCGCGGCAAGGTCTCTCAGGTGCTATCAGCTACACTATCATTACTACGCCAGCCCCCGCTGCCCTACACAAGCTAGGTCTTTTTCAAGGGGCCTCAAAATGACCTCAGGTGCGGGGATCTGAGACCTGGAGGGGACGTTATCGATCTGTTCGTAATAATGAAAGCAAGCTGGCGAGGATTGGGGGCATGGACGGGAGCAGCTGAGGCTGCTGTCGACACTTTCGGCCGCCACTTCCCCTGCAGACAAGACGGGCGCGGTGGCTGTGGCTGCGAAGATCAAGGTGGCCAACCCGGTGGTGGACCTCGATGGCGACGAGATGACCAGGTGCGGCGACGACTCGCCTAGTGCAGCAGCCCGGCAGCACCCAGGTGGCGTGCGCCATCAATCTGGATGCAGCCAGCCCCTGACGGTGCCTCTCCCTGCATGCAAATGTTTTGTATCGCCACGTAGGGTCATCTGGCAGATGATCAAGGACAAGGTGAAGCGAGAGGGTTGCGGTTGGGCGAGCCGCCGCGCATATCTGCTGCCAACTGCAAGTGGCGCTTTTGGCATCAACCTGCTTGCCCTGCCGCCGGTGTTGCACTCCATCTCAGTCTGTTGCAACCTCGCATCCGCAAACCGCAGCTGATCCTGCCTTACCTTGATCTGGACATCAAGTACTTTGATCTGGGCCTGCCCTCACGGTGAGCCTCTGGAGATCACGCGGGAACCAGAGCGGGGTGTGATTGGGCAGGCAGAGGCCGCTCGCTGGAGGGGCGCCGCCACGGCGCCGCACACGCCTCCCGAGGCAAGCAGCAGCACGCGTGACAGTCATGTGTGCGCGCCGCACATTGCCGTGCCGTGGCGCCGAGTTTGTGCGCGCGCACAGCGTGCGCTGTTTCGCAGCGGGTGTTGCGAAGGCGCCGCCCTGCGCACCAGCCACCTCCGCGGCGAGCTGGCGTTTTTGGGCTGATCGGCGGCGCGTGCCTCACACACACGATCACCGGGCGAACCCCAGTCGGCGCAGGCTGCATTCCGCCACCGCAATGCGCACCCCTCACGCCCTCTGCGGCCGCGCGTGCTGCCGTCGCCCGCCTGCCCCCGCAGCGATGCGACGGACGACCAGATCACCATCGACGCCGCCAAGGCCATCCTGGTGAGGACGACGGGCCCCACACACCCCGCTGATGCCTGGACATGGATCCATTCAAGGGGTGGAAGGCTGTTTCTTTTCGTCAAGTGGTGGCGGCTGCTAGCCATGCTGCCTGCCGCGTTGCGCCGAGGCGCGGGCAAGCAGGGCTCCCGTGGCGGCGGCAGCCCGCCCGGCCTGCTGCAGCGCTCCAAGGCCGCGCGCCGCTGCACAGCAGGGCCCTTTGCTGGCGGCGCGCCACGTTCCCCTCACGTATCGCCTCAGCGACACCGCAGTGACCATCCTCTCTTCCTGCCTCTGCAGTGGTGTTCATCTGCCGTCTGACACCACACTCTGTAACCAACACACGCGTGTCTGTCCGTTCTCTTTTCATCCCCTCCCCCCAGGAGTGCGGCGTGGGCATCAAGTGCGCGACCATCACCCCTGATGAGGCGCGCGTCAAGGAGTTCAGCCTGAAGAAGGTGCGTGCAAGCTGGGGGGTGGGATGTTGTCATGGTGGGTCCTGGAGGAGCTGATCAGAAGCTGTTGCCGCCAGCCGTGGCGCTGCCGCTGGCTACAGCGGCTCTGGAGGTCTGCCGTCGCGCAGACGGCGGGTGCGCCTGAAGTGGCGAGGACGCAGCTGTTTTGCGGGACGAGGTTTGATGCAGGCCCCTGCCTGGGATGAACGGGGGACAACGTAACGCGGTGTAGGCTGAGGTGGACATCAGGTGCCCCCTCCCTCCCCCCTCC